ACAAAGATGGCTGCTAGACCATCGTATGGACACGGCGGTGTGACGTCAGCACGCAGGCTCCTCCAATGCCACGTCGTGTATATATACATGAAAGTAGAAACAATATGTTAAACAATTGGAGCCTCCCCACCCCCATATACGCAGACATTTTGCTTCGGTTTTTGGCCATATGCATTCTGAATTTTCCATATCGGTTTTGGCACCAGAATTTTCATTTCGGAGCACCACTAATCAATACGCTGCTGAGAAGGTTGCTGTGCTTGCAGCACGATCCCAGCACACCCAGACGTCCTCTAAGATCCCAAGAGATTTAGAGCTTTCTTAGCTGATGTACCTAAGGATTTGGAGCCCCTTCTTACTTGGCCAGATGAAAGTATTATTGATGACATACCTGACCAGTCTGAGGATTGAACTGCACTCCCTGTTCAGCGTCGTAAAGCTGTTTGTGATGAGGATTTTGTCCACATTAGACATGAGAGCGTGACTGCGGATTACAGTCACCTGGAATTATAACACATGATTGACATTTGTAAACAGAGACCAGGGGAGCTCCTGGATGCCTAGGCTGTCCGTTTATATGATGGAGGGGCAGCTGGTGTCCTGTTAGACATAACTCCTCTAAATTTGCTTCAATTACTACAGAGCCAGTAGTGCAGCGGCCAATTAGAGAGGGTCCTGAACAGGCAGATCAGGTAGCCTTTTAAGCATAGTAAATAGGGGTCTTTGTCACTGCTTCCCTGCACAAATTAACTGGCCTATTAATGATAAGCCCTCTCAAGGCTTATCTGATGCTTTTAGGCAGATGAAATATGAGACTGCTAGACCAGCTATAGCAGTTGGCCGGTTGCCAGATTTAATGATATGCCTGTTAACCCCTCAAGTACAGACGTTGGTGATTAAATATACCCCTGCTCCTTATAAACAGGTTGTGCTGACCCTGCCGGTAAACATGACAGGTCAGCCATTAAGGGTGGTTGCTGACTCCTTGCAGTTAGGAGAGTTGGGGGAATGATCTGAAGGAGGGGTACTGCGTGCCCCACGGCATTCTCAATTTTTCAGACCACAGGCTAATTAGCCTCTGAGGCATAGTGAAGGGAAATCCATGCCATGCTGTGGTGAGCTGTTCTCTGCACTGATCAGAGCTGTTGTACCCAGAGAACAGATGGCATGGACACAGAAAAACTTTATGCTCTGTATAGAAAGAGGGGATTGCACAAGATAACAGGTGAATAATATGAGACAGAAACCAGACCTTGTGTTCCCATCAGCCCAACCCATGGATTTGTCCCCACTCAAACCACCACCTTTTGGGGACACGGGTCGCTAATCCCACTTTGCCCCCAGCCCCCCCCATGATGGCCAAGCCCCGCATGTCCCAAGTTTTCAGCAAGTAAATTCAGTAGATCCCCCCATTAATGCTGAAACCCGCCCCCATGTGAAATTAACTATCCGCTGTCGGAAGGGTAATATTCAGACAGGGCACTTGTGGATATGGGAGCGGAGGCCACATTCATTTATGGAGACCCTAGAAAGCACAGGGCAATCCCAGCAGTAGTCACAGGACTAGGAGGGAAAGAGGTGAAAGCAGTTAGTACTAAGGTAGAATTAGGGATAAGAAAGACCCCTTGTAAGAAGTACAGAGTTTTGATTGTGCAAATCAAGGAATACATTATTGGGATGGACATCCTGAGAGGTATGACCTTGCATTTGACAGATGGCACTTATGCATGTGGAGTTCACAAAGCTGAAGTCAGATTAGGGGAAGCTAAGGACATACTGGTAGGCACATTGCAAATGCCACCAGTAGTATTGCCTCCCCCCCCCCCCCCCCCCGCAACACAAAAGGTGTATACAAAACAGTATCGCATACCTGGGGGACATCAGGAGATTACTCAAACAATTCAGGGCTCTTCAAAGCAGGAGTTTTAAAGACAATCACCTCTGCATGGAATTCAGCCGTCTGGCCATTGTATAAACTGGACGGTACTTATTGCATGACCGTGGACTACCGGGCACTCAACAAGTTGACTCCACCATTGACAGCAGCGGTCCCTGATGTGGTCACAATCATAGAAATATATACAAAGACATTCTGGTGTTTGGTATGGGGCCTTAGATCTGGCCCAGGCCTTTTTCACCATTCCTATAGCTGAAGAGAGCAAGGAACAATTCAGTTTTACCTGGAATGGCAGACAGTTTACCTTTACCAGGTTACCCCAGGGCTATGTACATTCTCTCACTATCTGCCACCGACTGACAGCAGAACATCTGGCGGAGCTAACCCTCCCTCCAGCTCAACAGATACATTACATAGATGACATTCTCATTTAAGGCTCCGATGAGCAGGGGGTAGCATACACTTTAGCCATGGTAGTTGACCATATGAAACAAAAAGGGTGGGAGATTAGCCCAGATAAGATACAAGGCCCCCACAAACAGTTAAGTTTCTGGGTATCCAATGGCACTGTAGAAACAGAGAAATACCCCCCAAAGCTAGACAGAAAATACTAGATTTCAAAGAGCGGCAAAATAGGACTGAAGTCCAAAGACTCTTTGAATTTTGGAGACAACACATCCCTCATTTAGGCCAGGTTTTAGCTCCCCTATATCAGGTTACCCATAAAAAGAAGGCATTTGATTGGGGTAGGGAACAACAGTTGGCTTTTGAAATATCCAAACAGTAGTGCTTGAGGCCCTAGCAACCCCTTTAGATAATCCACATCAGCAAGTGAAATCACCTGTGAAATGGGGTAAGCCTTTAGGTGAACTCCCACCTAAGGAGCAGCAACATGCTTGGTTCACTGATGGCTCTGCTAAATCTAAAGGAGCAGAACGCTACTGGAAAGCTGTGACCTATAGGCGTGTTAACAAGCATTTTTTTGCAGGAAGAAGGGAAAGGTAAGAGCAGCCAATATGCAGTGTATTTAACCATTGCCAAAGAAATGCCTGGTCAATGTCACCTGTATACAGACTCCTGGTCAGTGGCTAACGGCCTAGTCATATGGATTCCCATGTGAGCTGGGTAGGATTTTATGATTCACTCTAAAGAAGTGTGGGGAAAGGAATTGTGGCAGCAGATTTGGAACTTGGCATCCCTAGGCACCATCACGGTACATCGTGTAGATGCCCATTGTGGGACTGACTCATTAGAACATCTGTTTAATTCCATAGCTGACCAAAGGGCCAAAGTGGCTGAAGTGGCCGCCCCCAGATTGGTGTGGGGGATTTATACACAAAAATGGATCATTTTCTTAATGTGCTAGAAGAAGCTTTCAATGCCACAGGTGAGGCAATTTCCGCAGTTTCAGCTGAATAAGAACAAATGCATCTGGTGGTACTTCAGAACCGGATGGCTCTGGACTACCTCCTGGCGGCCCAAGGTGGTGTTTGCCATGTAGTAGGAGATGCCTGTTGTTCTTTTTTTAAAGGATGGGACTGGATGAATCTTCCATGAAGTTGAAAGGTTGGAGAAGGTTCAAGCCCGTCTCAAGCCTATTAATGACACCCCCTGGGATATAGCAGGAAGTATCTCAGACTTCTTTAAGGATTTTGACTGGACTTTGGGATTGGGAGGAATGTTCAGTGAGCTGGTCGGAACCTTACTTAAGTGGGCTATTATTATTGAGGGTTGTTTATTGGCTTTGATAATAGCATGGAAGCTGGGCTGGTATTTGATAGCGTAATGCCGGAAGACCCTGGAAACCAATGGACCAATGCCAAGGGGTGGAATGTACTGCCTAGGAAATGTGCTGGCCTTGGGCCCTTGGTTTCCCCGGGGATTTTTCCAGTAAAGCATCGCTGCCCATATGCCAGAAGCATGGGGAATGACATATCGTCATTCTCTAGGCTAAGCGAAACTTAGAGTCAAAAGATATAGCTAGATTTAGGCCACTTGTATGAGATAAGACTTGTTTGTGCTGTTAGAAATGTTTAGAAAAGTCTGTTCCTTTATATAGCCCCCGGCTGGTGGGCTTATTGCCATAAGGTTTAAACATCTTGGACTTGGAGAAAACTTAGATGGCAGTATGTAGATAAGAGTTTGATCATGTGTTTATTAGGCCTGCTAGATGGCATGATAGTGATAAGTGACTGGGTGTGACTCTGCAACCTCACAGAACCTTTCAGTGTTCTCTGAAAAAGAGCATGTTGGAGCAGGTGAGGTGCCGCCCAATCTGGGATTGTGGCCAGAGGCACTGAGCGGGGATATTTAGGAGAGGCCTGGAGACTATGGGATCAGAAGCCATTTCACGCCTGAGGGGACACTCTGACGCTGGAATTTTTGCCAAAGCTGCATGGACTCATCGGCCGGTCGTGCTTCGGGCTTCTCCACAATCTCCTATGCACTGTGGTTCAATGAGGTCTCTTCCTTTCCTTCTTCCCGTAGCTTTGGTAATGTATTAACTCTATGCTGTGATGCTGTCAAAAGATGTGTTTATTTCATGCTGTAATACTCACATTACTATTGCTGTGTGTTATTATGCAGATTGTGATGACCATAAGAAATATACCCCTGTGTGTTGTGTGATAATAAAAGTGGGGGTTTTGACAGTGCAAGAACACTGCAGTTCAATTCTGTTATTTCTTGGGGTGCTGAGTGAATGCTGCATGATGTGCCAGGCCAGTTTTACACTTGATAGTGTGTCCCTCACAAGCTCAGAAACTATGGTGTGAATACTGGTTTTGATCGTACCTGTGCAGTGTGCGACTTGCTCTTGATCTTTGTGTCCAGCCTTGCATTACCATATACATTCCACTGGGGATTTTTACATTTACTTCCTGTCCTCTAGACACAACAGGCAGTAAGGGGAAATCCTCTTTTAGATAGTTTTCACTGAAATTGGTGTCCCCATTGGAATATTCCCTTTAAAATTTTTGTTCTGATATTAACTTAACATTTTGCATTTTCCATTTTTTCCAGACCTGATGACAATGGTAAAATCAGTATACAGTGTAGGATATGATTTAAATTATGTGCTAAAGTTTTTTTGTTATTTATCAACAGGAAAGTGAATACTATGGCAGCTGCTACCATAGTGCATGATACCTCCGAAGCTGTTGTGCTATGTGGGTCGCATGGGCTGTACCTAAAGCCCATCTCAAAGATCGTCATCAGTGTGGCACTGCCTCAGCTAAAGCAACCTGGAAAATCCATCTCAAACTGGGAAGTGATGGAGCGTCTTAAAGGCATGGTGAATAACCACCAATTTTCTACTTTACGAATCTCCAAAAGTACCATGGACTTCATCCGCTTTGAAGGGGAAGTGGAGAATAAGGGATTGGTGAAGGCTTTTATAAGTGCTCTGGATGGCAAAAGTATAAAACTGAGTGGGTTCTCGGACATTCTGAAAGTCAGAGCAGCGGAGTATAAAATAGATTTTCCCACCAGACACGATTGGGACTCTTTCTTTCGTGATGCTGAAGATATGGATGAAAATCTCCCAGGAGAAAGGCCAGACACAATTTATTTGGAAGGCCTTCCATGCAAGTGGTTTGCTGTTAAAGACTGTGGTTCTGAAAAGCCAAGCGAAGAAGTCCTTGTAAAGGTCTTCAGCATCTTTGGAGAAATCAGGAATATAGACATCCCTATGCTTGATCCTTACAGAGAAGAAATGACTGGTAGAAGCTTTCATACATTCAGTTTTGGAGGACATTTAAACTTTGAAACTTATGTGCAGTACAAGGAGTATGTGGGTTTTGTAAAAGCCATGAATGCTTTGCGTGGCATGAAGCTAATGTATAAAGGTGAAGATGGCAAAGCTATTGCTTGTAACATAAAGGTGAGTATTCTAAGCAGCAGGCTTTGCTTGTTCACAATAGTAGTCTTAAATATAAATGTAAAAGTGGAAAAGTGTTGATGTCTGTGCACAGGGTAATTGTAGTAGTGAACACAGTCTTTCATTTAGTTACTCTGGGGAATTAGGAGACAAAAAGGTGTAAATTTAGTGAGCAGTGTTGAGTGTAGAAAATACAGCAGAGTGTATAGACTGAAGAGGTATGGAGTACAGATTGTATTCAACTGTGCACAGGTTGGCGATACAGAAATATTTGATATGTATAGAACATACTTTATATATGTAGCTCTTCGCTTCTGTAATAACCTGTCATCCCTTTGGGAGAAGTTGCTAAGAATTTTTGTATCTCCACCATCAGTCCCAAGTGTATCTGGCTGCTGTTAATTACAAAGCCACCAATCCTCTAGCTTAATGACACCAAATTAGGGAAGCCTAGAAATAAACTGCAGTGTTGTGTGTTCTGTCTGAAATGATAATTACAAGTTAAAGTGGTTGTAAAGGTAAAAGATTTTTTTACTTTAATGCTTTCTGTGCTTTAAAGTAAAAAAAAAAAAACGCCTTTCAATAGTAGCTTCCCCAGCCCCCTCTAAATACCTACCTGAGCCCATTCTTGATCCAGCACTGTGCACATATGCAGAAGCTCTTCTCCCCTCTCTCATAGGCTTGGTTGAGAACAGTGGGAGCCATAGATGCCTGCAGCTGTCAGTCAAAACCTTTGAGCAAAGAGCGGAAAGTGGGACCGAGCAGCACTGTTTGGATAGACACAGAAAACCCTGCTTGGGATTGAGCCTGCACATGTGCCCCCATAGCAAGCATCTTGCTTTGGGGTACTTGGAAGGGAGGAGCCCAGAGTATCCGCAAGGCAACCCAGAAGAGGAGGTTTGTGGCTGCGCTGTACAAAACCATTGCACAGGGCATGTGATTCTACAATGTTTTTTTATTTTTTTGTGGTGTTTTTTTTTTTTTTTTTTTTTTTTTTGTTCTTTTTTTTTTTTCAAGGTTTACAATCACTTTAAGATTATTTTTTTCTCATTAATTGAGCGACACAGAAATCCTTAAACCTTCAGGGTTGTACTGCTACCTACAGAAAGATTGAACACTGGCAAGCAAACTGTAGGCTAGTCAAAGATAACCTGCATGAGTCTTGGGGTTGATGGTAGCCTTCTTTGAGACATCCCCCTTCACCCGATTTCACTTCAGACATTCTGTTGCTGTAGGGAAAGGTCTTTGGGCAGGCCAGTTTGGTTGATGCCAGAGACCAAGTTATGCCTACCTTGGTGGCTCAGGAGTATGGCTCTGGAATCAGGGAAGTCCTTTCTTCCCATCTTCTGGAAGATTCTTCAGACAAATGCTAGTTTGTCTGTTTAGGGAGGAGTCCTGGGCAGCTTGTTGGTGCAGAGCACTTGGTTGTTAGAGGAATATAGTCTCCCATTAATCCTCTTGTAGCTTCAGGTGATTTGGACAGCCCTTTAGCATTGGGGCACTCTGTTGGAAAGAGCATCCAGTCCAGTTCAGTTGGCCAACCATTAGGGAGGAACCAGAAGTCTTGTGAAAAAGGTAGTAGGGTAAATACAGTTCTGGGCCTCCTTACCAGCAGTTTACCTTGGGGATTTTGACATTATGTTAAAATGAAGTCATCTTCTTTACAATGAACCCATGTGTCCCTTTTTCACTGTGAACCCTGCCTCCATCCTGAACATGGCCGGCAGCAGTGGCTACTAGTCCCTAAGACCATTGTTCAGTCCAGCACTTGCTGTTCTCACTTTACTCTTGACTGAAATCAGGCCTTCCTATTCAGAAAAGGACATGGTGAAACAAATGCAATTTTTCAGGACAGAGGGTAGGATTCTTCAGCAAAGTTTGTTAAATCCTTACGATGTACATAGATCACACAGAGGCAGTTTCTTTTCTCCATTAAAGTTGAGTTACTTTAAAATATAAAGTACAGGCATATCTCGGTTTACGAACGCCTCGGTTAATGTAATTTTTGGTTTAAGAATGAAAATCCATGGAAAATAATGCCTCAGTTTACAAATTTTTTTCACAATACGAACTGATTAATTGGGTTTCAATGCATTTACGAATAATTTTTTTAATCATGTCCCTGTACAGTACTATGCATTTAAAGTGCACTTTTTAAAGAGTTTAACAGATAAGACTTTTATTTTACTTTTTCTGACCTCCGGAACGGATTAATTGGTTTTCAGTGCATTTACAAAATTTTTTTTAATCATGTCCCTTTATGCCTTTAAAGTGCACTTTTATAAAGAGTTTCAAACAGTTAAGACTTTTTTTTTTACCTATTTCTGACCTCCGGAATGGATTAATTGGTTTTCAATGGGAAGCCACGTTTCGGTTTACGAATGTTTCGCAATACGAAAAGTCCAGCAGAACAAATTAAATTAGTAAACCGAGGTATGCCTGTATTCAGTATGATGCCAATAAGTGCATTAAAACTCCATCTCATGCTAAGCAATGCAGCTGTGTACCTTAGTACGAGGCTTGAGCTATATCTGTTGCAAAACCTAGCAACTATGTACAGAGGAACGTTTGGGCAAATTATATTTCTGCCTGAAGAGAGCTGCTTATTGTGCAGGTGTTCCATAAACTCCCAAGGGATTGCTAAGGTTTTACCAAATGCTAGGAGCAACAGTTTGTAAGGATTTTCCACCTTTTACTATCCATGAGTACTTAAAAAAAAAAAAAAAAAATAATAATCAGAGTCCATTCACTCTGAACTGAACTCTTTACAGACATCCCTGTGCTGATCCAGCCCACTTGTATCTCTCTAAAATTGAAGTATCCTTGTCTGAGTACACTGTAAAAACAGAATTTAGGCAGAAGAAGGTGGAAATATATTTGGTATTCATTTATTGTATAAATATATTATATTTACCTGAAAAAATAGACTAAGCCCTGATCACACTCGTGCAACTTTTCATGCGACTTGTTACACATAGGGGTTGATTTACTAAAACTGAAGAGTTCAAAATCCGGTGCAGTTGTGCATGGTAGCCAATCCGCTTGTAACTTCAGCTTGTATAATTAAGCAAAAAAAAAAAAAAACCCTTGAAGCTGATTGGTTGCTATGCAGAGCTGCCCCAGATTTTGCACTTTACACTTTTAGTTAATCAACCCAATAGAGTCACATGACAATTGAAAACATATTAATTTCATTAGTGGCCATTTTAATCAATGAGACTCAAGCCCCAGTACTTTTTCTTAAAAAGGTTCCTTTCTTGCAACTTCAATGCGACAGAGTCCCATAGACTCTAATGTCTCATGAAAGTCTAAAGCAAGTTGTGCGGCATAGTCACACTGGAAATCTCACAACAATGGGGTTGCAGCAGTGTAAACCGAGGTTAAATGCAATGCCATTGGGTATAATTCATTTAGCAGAATGTTCTTTTTCACTTCAAAATAAATAAATGGAAATAACAAAACATTATTTTGCCTTAATGTTTTACTTTTTTAATTGCAGGTTTCCTTTGATAAAACAAAACATCTGACTGAGGCATCTATTAAAAAGCGTCATCTCGAGCGACAAAAATTGCAAGAACTTGAACAGCGGCGAGAGGAGCAGAAGAGAAAACAGAAGGAAGCTGAAGAAAGACAAAAAGAAGAGGAACGGTAATGGTCAGATGACTAAAACATTAGGAACTTGTATAGTTTAGCAGTATAGGAAACTTTTTTTATATGTGTGGTTTTATTCTGTTATCATACTATATGTAACAGCTATCTCTTTCATTTTTGCAGGCAACACTAATTTACAAAAATGATGGCTTGTTTGGTGATACTACATGCTCATTATTTGTACTCATAGCAGGGATACAAAACAGTAGAGCGCATCTCCTACCTAAAACACCTTGACCCTTTGCACTATCCTAGATCAAGCCCTGATCTAGCTATTTTTATTTTACATTATCACATATTACATATTATTTACATTCTTCCCTTTTGACTAGAATACATTATCATTTGATCCATTCAGGAGAAAGAGTACAGGTGCAGTTTCCCTGGTGATCATTGTGATAGGCAATCACTGGCTATCACCACAATCATGTGAGTGGAAGCTGGTCCTCCAGGCTGTCAATCCTTTTTGTACAAGAGTAGAAGCTGTAGACGATAGCTTGCCCTGCATGCTACGGAGCATTCTCCAAGCACAAACACTAGTGCTGCATCTCCGTAGAAGTCCCACCTCCATGACACCACATATACAGTATGTATTACACCAGCGGTCATGGATTAAGACCCAATTTAACTTCCATTTTAAGTTAGCTGAATAATCTTTGTCCAATAAGGTTGTGGAAAGACATATGCTTAGTTTTTGTAAGAAAGTAGCAAAGTAAAGCATCCTGTCCTCTGCTAGCATGCTGCCGAAGAGAATTGGTGCGTTGTTTGTAAAAACTGTGGCAGTCTGAGTCCAGAGCTGTGAAATTTAACCACTTGAGCCCCAGAGGATTTAGCCCCCTTAATGACCAGGCCTTTTTTTGCCGTTTGGCGCTGCACTAATTCAAATGATAAGTGCGCGGTCATGCAATGCTGTACCCAAACGAAATTTACGTCCTTTTTTTCACACAAATAGAGCTTTCTTTTGGTGGTATTTTATCACCTGTGCGCTTTTTATTTTTTGCGCTATAAACAAAAAAACCACGAAACTTTTGAAAAAAAACAATATTTTCTACTTTAAGCTATAAAAAAATATATCAAACTCAAAGTTAGTCATAAATTTAAGCCAAAATGTATTCTGCTACATGTTTTTGGTAAAAAAAATCCCGTGCATTAGCGGGCAAACTGGCGCTATCTAGGAGGGGCGCTAACACTATCGGAAGTCACCAGTGACATTAATACAGTGATCACTAAAAATCTGTTCACTGTAATCAATGACACTGGTGACAGGGCAGTGAAGGGGTTAACTGGGGGGGGAGGGGGGCGATCAAGGGGTTAAATTGGATTTCTGGTGCACTAGCTGGCAAACTGGCGCTATCTGGGAGGGGCGCTAACACTATCGGAAGTCGCCAGCAACACTGATACAGTGATCAGTAAAAATCTGTTCACTGATCAATGACACTGGTGACAGGGCAGTGAAGGGGTCAACTCGGGGGGGGGGGGGGGGGGGGGGGGGGGGGGGTGGGGGGGGGGGGGGGGGGGGGGGGGGGGGGGGGGGGGGGGGGGGGGGGGGGGCGATCAAGGGGTTAGACGGGATTATTGGTGTATTAGCGGGCATTCTGGCGCTATCTGGGAGGGGCGCTAACACTATCGGAAGTCGCCAGCGACACTGATACAGTGCTTGGTAAAAATTGGTTCACTGATCAGTGACACTGGTGACAGGGCAGTGAAGGGGTTAACTGGGGGGGGGGGGGGGGGGGGGGCGGTCAAGGGGTCAAGGGGTTAAACGGGATTACTGGTGTACTGGCGGGCAATCTGGCACTATCTGGGAGGGGCGCTAACACTATCGGAAGTCGCCAGCGACACTGATACAGTGATCAGTAAAAATCGGTTCACTGATCAGTGACACTGGTGACAGGGCAGTGAAGGGGTTAACTGGGGGGGGAGAGATCAAGGGGTTAAACAGGATTACTGGTGTACTGGCGGGCAAACTGGCGCTATCTGGGAGGGGCGCTAACACTATCGTAAGTCGCTAGCGACACTGATACAGTGATCAGTAAAAATTGATTCACTGATCAGTGACACTGGTGACAGGGCAGTGAAGGGGTTAACTGGGGGGGGCAATCAAGGGGTTAAACGGGATTAGTGGTGTACTGGCGGGCAATCTGGCGCTATCTGGGAGGGGCGCTAACACTATCGGAAGTCGCCAGCGACACTAATACAGTGATCAGTAAAAATTGGTTCACTGATCAGTGACACTGGTGACAGGGCAGTGAAGGGGTTAACTGGGGGGGGGATCAAGGGGTTAAACGGGATTACTGGTGTACTGGCGGGCAATCTGGCGCTATCTGGGAGGGGCGCTAACACTATCGGAAGTCGCCAGCGACACTGATACAGTGATCAGTAAAAATTGGTTCACTGATCTGTGACACTGGGTGACAGGGCAGTGAAGGGGGTTAACTGGGGGGGGGGGGCGATCAAGGGGTTAGACGGGACTACTGGTGTATTAGCGGGCAAACTGGCGCTATCTGGGAGGGGCGCTAACTCTATCGGAAGTCGCCAGCGACACTGATCAGTAAAAAAAAAATCGCTTCACTGATCAGTGACACTGGTGACAGGGCAGTGAAGGGGTTAACTGGGGGGGGGGGGGGGGCGATCAGGGGGTTAAATGTGTCCTAGGGTGTTCTAACTGTAGTGTAGTGCTTGTGTACTCACTGTTTGGATGTCTTCTTCTCTGTCTGGAACGGAATGTGTCCAGGCAGAGAAGAATGACATCATATCCTGCCCTGTGTAAATATCAACACAGGACAGGATAGGACAGGGACCGATCATGTGATTTCAGCCAGAAATCACTGGCTGAAATCTAATGATTGATCCCTCCTGGATCGAATCGTATCACCCGCGGGTCGGCGGGAGCGCGCGCGCGCGCGCGCCCCCTACCCGCGAATGTGTCGGGAGCGCGGAGCACGTTTTAAAACGTGCTTTTGCGCTCCACTGCCGCCCTGCGCGCGTATATACACAGTGGCAGGGCGGCAAGCGGTTAAAAAAGGAGTTTGATTTCACAGCTCTAGGCTCTGACTTAGGCTAGGTTCACACTAATGCGGTGCGGTACATCGCATGTGATTTGCACAGGAACCGCACTGCATTCCTATGCAAATCACATGCAAATTCTGTGTCGTGCGATTTGAGCCATACATTATGTATGCAGGACCCTTTTTTGGGTCCGCACTAAAATTGGATCGCATGGGTATTCACACCTATGCAATCCGATTCTGCACATCGCACTGCGTTTTGCGGACCGATTTCGGGGTGTTAGCATACACAACCGCAGCGGTTCGCATGAACGGGGGGTGCGATTGTGATGTGGTGCGGAATTCTCACAGAAAACGCTGCAAATTCCGCACTGCAGCAGTGTGAACCCAGGCTTACAGAGTATACAGATCCTCCTGTCTAGCATGCTGGTGGGGAGCAGGATGCTGTGCTGTGGCATTGGTTTTGTTGCACATATTTTATTTAGCTTGTTTAAAACACAAGTGCAATTGGACTTAAAGGTATTTATATTGTGCATCAGGGGTTTTCTTCTGTAGGATTCATCCAGCGCAGTTTTGTAGAAGTTAAAACTTGCCTCCTTCCCATGCCAAAGACACACACACACCACAGCAGTGCATACCCCACACTATGGGGCTACACTACTATAATTTTGGTGCTTTTTTTTTTTTTTATTGTTTTAAACAGTTTTTAGTAGTAAAATGAAGAATACATTGCATCTTTATCTGCAGTCCTGAAGGAAAGGGCCAGGACTGATCACTCAGCAGCATTTGAGAAATTATTAAAGCTGTTCTAAATGCTTCTTGAACTTAGATTTATTGCATCAAAAGCAAGCAAAGAAATGTCACAGTCTAATGAGAAGTTGTGTTTGTGTGGTTAGGATAATTACTGGTAATGCAGAAGTCCCTATGGATTTTCTATGGCGCCAATTACTTCAGCTCAAATGATACAGAGCTCAGGGACTGTAAGTGTGGTGACCCAGGGGGGAAAAAACAAGATTTAAAAAGCATCAAATCCAACAAAGGACACTAAGTAGCTGATGTGCTAAATTTACCTCCCCACTTCTACACCTATACATTTTGCTGAACTTCTCAACTGCAGCATAAAGTGAAATTCTACCCTAATTAAGCATTGATAAAAGTTTTTAGGTCTTTTTTATTTAAAAACAAAGGAGTTGAGCTTGTGACCCAAAATCCAGCTATTTTGACATGCCCAGTAATAATAATATTTCTAAAGTTCTATGGATTAAATGGATATTTGGGCATATATAGTGGTGTGCACTTTTAGTAATATATTAATTTACTGGTGCGTACGTGCTGATCACTTCTATTAAGCATGCTAGTTGCCTGGCATCAATGCTAAACCAGCAGCTCCATTACTGTGTGCCCTGCCACATACTTACTCTGGGTCAGAGATTTAATGTGTATTTTAAACCAGGGTTCCTCACCCAGGGCTTCTCCAGAGGTTCCCACTGACACCATTAATCTTTTTAGCTATCTGTAAGGGGGTAATCCATCCCAATGACCACAAGTGTAAGGAGCATTCTTCCCACTTACTATCACACTAATGTATCATGAGTTGTAGAAAGGGTAATTTTTAGCAGGGGTTCCCTAAGACTAGAGTGTTATTTCAAGGGTTCCTCTGTGTTGAAAAGGTTGAGAGAGGCTGATCTAAACCCAAAACAAAAATGTAATATACTGTATAGTGCAGCTTACCAGTCTTTAGATTTGGTTGCTGCACGTTTAAGAACATTTTGGTAAGAAAAAAAAAAAACAACCAGACTGCTGTGTTAATGTTATTGACTGACTGCATCATACATGTAATTTTTTTTATTTTGTCCATAGTTACACTTTAAGGCTGTTTGACAGGAGCAAGGATTGACTGGTTTTACACTAGCCCATATGTATAGAGGTATGCAAAATGAAAAATAAACAAAAGCAATCCATAAGTGACAATCTGTGCAGGTCTAGGTGAAAATAGCAGCAATAAAGATTCAGTGTCGGTGCTACAAAACAGTGTGGTAAGAATACGCACTCACCAGATGCTTAATGTAAATACGCATTAAATCAATCAGTAGAGGTCCCCTTTAGAAGTTGGATATGATCCTGGCCAAGGATAATCCTCCCTCTGGGTAAAGGTGGTGCTGTCGGAGCTCACAGGTGGTAAGGGATCCAGTCAGCCAGAGGTCCTCTTAAAGGGATGGGTGGGTGTAGAAGCCTGTATGACAGGAACTCTCTTCTCTGGATACTGCGGTGGGCTGGATCAGGTGGGCTCTACAAATGAATTGCTGCCGGTGTCCCCTCACTGCGGATTCATCCCTGACTCATCAACAAAGATGTCCGCCGTGCCATCACCTTCTGCAGCGCTCTCCACCAATCAGCACATAGAATCCCGCCAACATCAGACAGCACCTCCGACAGCTCTGCAAGGTGACTGAAATGGGAGCAGCCGAACAGCTGTCAATGCTTCAAAGGGAGGGCCTGCGTATTTAATGCGTATTTACATTACGCATCTGGTGAGTGCGTATTCTTACCCCACTGTTTTGTAGCACCAACACTGGATCTTTATTGCTGCTATTTTCACCTAGACCTGCACAGATTGTCACTTATGGATTGTTTTTGTTTATTTTTCATTTTGTATACATATATATATATATATATGTATGTGTATATGTATGTGTGTGTATGTATATGTGTATGTATATATATGTATATGTGTGTATATATATATATATATATATCATTTTTAGCGCTGCACTTATTTATTTCTAGTATTGATGAGGTTTTTATATTTGTTACCTGTAGTGCTACAGCTGCTACCTTTAGATCGCTCACATTTTGACTCTATTTTATGGTTTCACACTAGCGCTGCGGGTGCAGGAATCGCACCTATACCCGCACCCGAAACCACTGGCAGCCGAATTGCGCTGTTCTTCATCCTGAATGGCACCCCCACGTGTCAGCGTGCATCGCAGGGAAACTGCATGGTCAGAAAGACCATGTGGTGTCCCTATGGATACATTTTTGAAAAATGCATGCACCTTTTTTCCTGAATGAAACACAGGCACTCTAGCCTGTTCAAATGAATGGGCTGCTGTGTCTGTGCAAACCGGCTGCACAGCCCTCATTAGTGTTAAGCAGGCCTATACACTTATCTTGTCATTCATTTATGGTACTAGACAAAGTATTAGGAAAATCCTGGGATAAGAGAGGCCTGTGTTTATCTTTAGGACACCAATTTGGTAATATGATCTGCTAGGTATTGTTTAAACTCCCTTGGTATTTATAGAAGGTGTAGATGTAAGTAGGTGGCAGTTCTTCTGTTGGGATTATACCTAGTATTAGGGATGCACGGATACCAAGTATTTTCACGAGTACTCGTGAAAATGCTTCCGATACCTGAAACCGATACTTTGCGGTGCGATTTGCATCCATACAGAATGTATGGACGCAAATTGCACCGCAAACAATAGAATGCGATTTGAACAGGAATGTGATTCTTGTCCAAATTGCATGCGGTTTCCCAATTGCTGCTGTGTGAACGGAGGCCTGATTTCACACAGGAGCCACGCAGGAAACCTCCCTGCACAGAGGGGAGAGAAAGCGGCGGGGATTTCAAATCCCCAGCTTTTTCTGCTGTGTTAGCATGGAATTCATGCAGTGAGGTTCCCCGCACCGCTCCTGTGTAGACTCAGTCTATGACAAATCCGAGTAATGGGAAACCGCATGCGAATTGGACAGGAATTGCCTTCCTATTCAAACTGCAGGCTATTGTTTGCGGTGCAATTTGTGCTTATACATTTTATATCAACGCAACTCGCACTGCAAAGTATCGGTACCCGTACTAGCTGATCAAAAAAGGGTATCAGTGCATCCCTACCTAGTGTATGCTGAATAGTATGTTTGTGTGGTAAACTGTTTTTCTAGGGTAGAAAAAGTACCTTTTGAAGGACTTATTGCTTCTAAATGAAAGAAATAAGAAGCTCTTTCAGTAAAGGAGATACAGTGGGTATAGAAAAGATTCACCCCCCCTTAAACTCACATTTTGTTGTTTTGCAGCATGAAATGAAGACAGGCACACTTTTTGTTTTATCCAGCTGTATTTACTCAGTGCAACATATAATCACCAACACATCAGGAAAAAAAAATTAAAAATCAAAAACTGAATCACTGAGTTGGAACAAGTATCACCCCCTAGTGTCAGTGTTTGGTGAACCTCCTTTTGTTTTAATTTCAGCCTTTAGTCTGTTGGGATATGTCTCTACGAACTTTGCCCATCTAGACTTTGCAATATTTGCCCACTCTTATTTGTAGAACTGCTCAATTTCAGTTAAATTTGATGGTGGTCATTTGTGGACTGCAGTCTTCAAATCATTTCATAGATTTTCAATGGGGTTTAAGTCTGAGCTCCGACTAGACCATGCAAGGGCATTCACCTTTTTTCTCCTACCACTGTGTGGTCTTTTTTGTTGTGTGCTTTGGGTCATTGTCATGTTGGAAGGTAAACCTTCTTCCCATTGACAACTTTCTGGGAGAGGGCAGCAGATTTTCCTCAAGAATTTGATGGTATTCTGCGCCGTCCATTTTTCCTTCTATCCTGACAAGTGCCCCAGTCCCTGCTGCAGAGAAACATCCCCACAGCAGGATATTACCATCGCCATGCTTTACTGTAGGGGTGGTGTTATTTGGACGGTGAGCTGTATTGGATTTCCACCAGACATATCGTTTAGTGTTAAGGCCAAATAATTAAATTTTAGTCTCATCTGACCAAACCACCTTTTTCCATGTGGCCTCAAAATCTTCAAGGTGTGTTTTGGCAAAGCTCAGTTGTGACTGCATGTGGATTTTCTTGAGGAGTGGCTTTTTTTTTTCTTGAAACCCTCCCATACAAGCCACATTTGTGGAGAATTTGTTATATTGTTGTCACATGTACACAATGACCACTCTTTGTCATAAATTCCTGCAACAGAGTTGCTGTAGGCTCTTGGTAGCCTCTCTGACCAGTTTCCTCCTAGTTATTTCATCCAGTTTGGAGCGATGTTCTGATCCAAGGAGGTCTGTGTTGTACCAAATACCTTCCACTTCTAAATATTAGACTTCACTGTGCTTCTAGGCATTGATAAAGCCTGTGAAATTTTTTTGTATCCATCTCCTGACTTGTGCCCACAACCTTATCCCAGAGATCTTTTGACAGTGCCTTGCCACCTATAGTTGATTGTTTGCTTCAATTGCACTATCAGGGACTAAAATGCTCCAGAAAAGCTTTTTTTCATGCTCAGCTAATCAAAATGACAACAGCTGAAAGTCAAGTGGCTTTGTGTGCCATTGCGATGATTAGCTACACCTAATTAATTTTACAAGTCATTTGAAGGAGGGGGGTGATCCTTTTTTAAATGTTCTTTATTTGATTTTTTCTGGTATGTTGGTGTTATATCTTTCACTTGGCTGTTATAAGTTGCCCTGAGTAAATACAGCTGGATAAAACAAAAACTGTATCTGTCTTCATTTCAGGCTGCAAAGCAACACAATATGATTATTTTAAAAGGGGTGATTCTTTTCTATACCCACTTGTATATATGTATGTATGTATGAATGTACCTCATTCTTTAATTGTTTTTGATTATTTGATTAGGCAGCACTAACATTGAGGTTTATTTTAGAAAACAAAAAGAACTAGAAGAGATTGAAAAGGAGAAAAAGCGCAAGGAGAAGATCAAACGAAAGGAGGATAAACAACGAGAACGGGAAGCTCGCAAGCACAAGAAAAAGCTGCAAAAACTGCAGGCCGAGGAGCAAAAGAGATTGCAGGAGAAAATCCGATTTGAAGAGAGAAAGCTCCTATTGTCTCAGAGGAATTTGCAGTCCATCAGGTTAATTGTAGAGCTTCTAAGCAGAGTGAAGGTGAGAGAGTGGTTTCTCTTCTTCCATAATGGCTCATTCAGGGTCTGTTTCTACAATCACCAGGTCTTATAAGCTACTGTATTAGATAGTACAATGGTATGAAAGCAGCTCATGGTTAATCAGATTTGCTTTAGTGCACACTTAGCTGGTAATAAGGAATCTACAGTATATCGACGTAATATATTTTTCTCAATTATGTTCAGTGCTAGAAATTAAAAGAAAGTGTTCTTTATTCAGTAGAAAACATGATAGATAGATAGATAGATAGAGATATATATATATATATATATATATATATATATATATATATATATATATATATAATATATATAATATGGACTGAATTAAAAAACCCCACGAAAATCAAAGTGAAAAAAATTATGCAGCAGGCTAGTCGATTTTGCTGATATTTCATTGCAGCAACTCAAAATGATACTCACTTTTCCATATGGCCCTCACGTGCTTGCATGCAACCCTGACAATGCCGGGGCATGCACCTCATGAGACGGATGGTGCCCTGGGGTATTTTCTTCCAGATTTGGACCAGTGCATCACTGAGCTCCTAGACAGTCTGAGGTGCAACCTGGTAGCGTCAGACCGAAACATGATATCCCAGAAGTGTTTCTATTGGATTTAGGTCAGGTGAGCGTGGGGGTCAATCAGTGGTATCAATTCCTTCATCCTCCAGGAACTGCCTGCATACTCTTGCCACATGAGGCCGGGCATTGTCGTGCACCAGGAGGAACCCAGGACCCACTACACCAGCGTAGTGTATGACAATGGGTCCAAGGATTTCATCCTGATACCTAGTGGCAGTCAGGGTGCCATTATCTAGCCTGTAAAGGTCTGTGTCTACCTCCATGGATATGCCTCCCAAGACCATCACTGACTCACCATCAAAACGGTCATGCTGAACGATGTTACAGGCAACATAACGTTCTCCACCTCTTCTCCAAACCCTTTCACGTCTGTCACATGTGCTCAGGGTCAACCTGCTCTCATCTGTGAAAAGCACAGGGTGCCAGTGGCAGACCCCCCAATTCTGGCAAATGCTAATCGAGTTCTATGGTGCCTGGCAGTGAGCACAGGGCCTACTAGAGGACGTCTGGCCTTCAAGCCACCCTCATGAAGTCTGTTTCTGATTGTGTGGTCAGAGACATTCACATCAGTGGCCTGCTGGAGGTCATTTTGTAGGGCTCTGGCAGTGCTCATCCTGTTCTTCCTTGCACAAAAGAGCAGGTACTGGTCTTGCTGATGGGTTAAGGACCTTCTGCGGCCTTGTCCAGCTCTCCTAGAGTAACTGCCTGTCTCCTGGAATCTTTTCCATGCTTTTGAGACTGTGCTGGGAGACACAGCAAACCTTTTTGCAATGGCATGTATTGATGTGCCATCCTGGAAGAGTTGGACTGCCTGTGCAACCTCTGTAAGGTCCAGGTATCGCCTCATGCTACCAGTAGTGACACTGACTGCAGCCACATGCCAAGCTAGTGAAAAATAGTCATAAAATGTCCGTGGACTCCACCTGTAAAACCATTCCTGTTTTGGGAGTTGTCTCATTGTTCCCATCTAGTGCACCTGTTAATTTCATTAACACCAAAGCAGCTGAAACTGATTAACAAGCCCCTCTGCTACTTAACTGACCAGATCAATCTCCTAGGAGTTTAATTGACTTGATGCTATACTCCAATTAAAAAGTATTCCTTTAAGTGTGTGTAAACACATTTCTATGATGAACATAGAAAATCACTTGTAACCTGCTTCACATCCATCTTCCGCCCCTTTGTGTACTATTTCCCATTCTAAAAACCCAAACTGTGGTAATACTGCAGCATGGAAAGAGCACAGTCTGAATGGTAAATAGGGGGGTGAAGACACGACTACAGTGCAGGGGGTGGAAATTTCTTCAGAACAAAAAAGAGAATAAATCTGTAAAAGTGTAAAATCCTTGCATCGTATAGGTTTACCAAGAGAGGTGGAGAAGGCGGTTTCAGCTCGGTGTATGCTCTCTGACCACAATGGCTCAAGCAAGTGTGCAAAAATGTGAATATGAGCGGGGGGGGGGGGGGGGGGGGGGGGTTATGAATCAAAGATGTTGTTTTGCCATAAGGTAAGTATATTGATATACTGAAGCCTTAAAAAAAACAAACAAAAAACAACCCTATATTTTGCCATTTGTATTTTACTCATGTAGTGCACAACAGGTTCATCTTAAAGGCATCCCCACCTGTACATACTGTTTTCTTTCACTCCCCAACTGGTTTTCCTTGTTACTAGGAACAAATGGGGGAATCACTATGTAAGATTCTAAGGCTTTCCCAGAGGACTGTCTCCCCTCAACCATGTGACAGCACTGGGTATCTAAGTGGCCAATCAGAATACACCAACCTGTCACATGGAAAGGAGTGAACCACATGGTGTCTTATACCCAGAAGTAAACTAGTTTTCTTTTCACTCCTGGCAGTCTCACATAAGGGGATCAAAGGGACGTGTAAACAGCTGTAAGTGCCACCGTTAAAATTATCCACTTTATATTAGGGATGCACTGAAATTTCAGTGGTCGAAATGTTTCGGCAGATATGTAAATAAGCACTTATACAGGTGCCGAAAATAACGCCACCGCTTGGTGGTTCTCAGCCTCAACTGAGAAACTATTGAACGATCATGGCGCTGAGCATAGAGATAAGTGAAGGAAAGATGGCCTCCATTCATCTCTATACCCTTTGAGGACCGGGAGTGACGTCACTACATCACTTCCGGCTTCCGGCACCTTGTAAATAAGGCCCTCTTCTTTTTTTTTTTTAAAGCACGAGATCAATGCTTTTGTTGATCTAATGCTTTACATTGCCGAGGAGAGATGTAGCGTCTTATTAACCCCATTATCTCCATAAAGAGGACCTGTCACTGCTTATATCTATCACAAGGGATGCATGCATTCCTTGTGATAGGAATAAAAGTGATTACCATTTTTTTTTTTTTTTTTTTTTTTTTTTTTTTTTTTTTAAAAGGACAGTGTAAAAAAAAAATAAACTTAAAAAAATAAAAGTTGAAAGTGCACTCGTCCCCCCGTGCTTGCGTGTAATGGGGAGCGCATACGTAGGCCACACCCACATATGTGAACAGTGTTCAAACCACATATATGAGGTACCATCACGAATGTCAGAATCTATTTAATATTCGATTTAAAAATGCAGTAAGGAGGTTTGGTTTAAACATTTTAAGTGTTAAACCAGCTAGCAATTTGTGTTGGTGTTTGTGGCTAAACTTGGTGCATTTTTCTACAATTAACATAGCTGACACAAAATGTACCCAGACACAATTTGTAGAGTAATCCACACACTTCCCACAAGATATTGGTTCCTTGTAGCTCTGCATTGGAAATTAGAAAGAAAAATGAAAGCCAACCTTGTAATAAGAAGATGACATTGTATTAGAACTCCTTAATTTAATAAAATGTCTGCTCAGGTGTGTAATTTCAGCTGAAAACTTTGAAAACCAAAAAGTGTTTCTGGTGTAGAAGCCCCTCCCAACTCATTTTGCTCTACATGGTGCTGATGCCACTTTCACGTTTAAAATTTTTTAAAATTCCTGGGGGGTTTTTCTGCTGTGTGCTCTAATTTCCTGTTAGAAGGTAACTACATTTAATTCTTCATGACCTTACTGTATGTACAGTGAAGGAAATAAGTATTTGATCCCAAGCTGATTTTGAACGTTTGCCCAGTCACAAAGAAATGATTAGTCTAAAAATCGAATGGTAGGTGTATTGTAACACTGAGAGACAGAATAGCAACATTTTAAAGAAATGCATGTCTAACAAATTATGCACTGATTTGCATGTTTATGAGGGAAATATGTATTTGATCCCCTATCATTCAGCAGGATTTCTGGCTACCAGGTGTCTTTCATACAGGTAGCAAGCTGAGATTAGAAGAAGTCTCTTAAAGGGAGTGCTGCTAATCTAATTTTGTTACCTGTATAAAAGAAACCTGTCCACAGGAGCAATCAAACAATCAGATTCCAAAATCTCCACCATGGCAAAGACCAAAGAGCTGTCCAAGGAGGTCAGGGACAAGATTGTAGACCTACACAAGGCTGGACTGGGCTACCAAATTATCACCAAGCAGCTTTGTGAGAAAGTGACAACAACAGTTGGTGCAATCATTTGCAAATGGAAGAATCACAAAACACCTTGTCAGTCTCCCTGGGTCTGGTGCACCATGCAAGATCTCACCTCGTGGAGTGTCAGTGATCATGAGAACAGTGAGGAATCATCCCACAACTACACGTGAGGATCTTGTCAATGTTCTCCAGGCAGCTGGGACCACAGTCACCAAGAAAACAATTGGTAACTCCCTACGCCGACAAGGATTGAAATCCTGCATTTCCCGCAAGGTCCCTCTGCTCAAGAATGCATATGTCCAGGCCTGTCTGAAGTTTGCCACTGAACATCTGAATGATCGCTGTGTTTGGAGGAGGAGGAATGCTGCCTATAACCCCAAGAACACCATCCCTACTGTCAAACATGGTGGTGCAAACATTCTACTTTTGGGGTGCTTTTCTGCTAAGGGGACAGGACAACTGCACCGCATCAAAAAGGATGATGGACAGGGCAATGTACCGTAAAATCTAGGGTGAGAACCTTCTTCCCTCAGCCAGGTCATTGAAAATGGGTCGTGGATGGGTGTTCCAGCATGACAATGACCCAAAACACACGGCCAAGGCAACAAAGGAATGGCTCAAGAGGAAGCACATTAAAGTCCTGGAGTGGCCTAGCCAGTCTCCAGACCTTAATCTGATTGAAAATCTGTGGAGGGAGCTGAAAGTTCAAGTTGCCAAACGTCAGCCACCAAACCTTAAAGACTTGGAGAGGATCTGCCAAGAGGAGTAGGCCAAAATCCCTCCTGAGATGTGTGCAAACCTGGTGGCCAACTACAGGAAACGTCTGACCTCTGTGATTGCCAACAAGGGACTTGCCACCAAGTACTAAGTCATGTTTTGTGAAGAGGATCAAATACTTATTTTCCTCATGAACATGCAAATCAGTGCATAATTTGTTAGACATGCATTTCTTTTGAATTTTTCGTTGCTATTCTGTCTCTCAGTGTTACAATACAACTACCATTCGACTTTTAGACGGATCATTTCTTTGTGAAACATTCAAAATCAGCAGGGGATCAAATACTTATTTCCTTCACTGTGGAAACACAGCCACCCTTGCTTGCTCCCAAGATGGACTAAGTCCTATGTACAGTGACATTTGTAGTGAGCGTAGAGCAGTGTGCATAAGTGCAACAATTGGCATGGCTCGTTCCAAACAAATGGAGCTCCTGAAAAGGAGCAGTTCAGGAGATCACGGAAGAGGAAGCAGAGAAACACAGTACAAATCTATTTCTCATGAAATTGTTGACAGGGTCATTCAGAAGTGGATGTGTATTGATTATTTCTGGAGAATAAGGATATCATTAGTGTCATTTTAAGAAACCTGGAGGTCTTAAAAACCAAGTGTGGATAATTTACAAAAATCATAGCTTGTGTAGAAACAAAGTGGCACTTGCAGCTCTGATTTGTAATTTTGGCATATTAACCTTTTAAGGTTTTTGATTGTACATAAGATTTACCTTGTACACTCAAGACATTCTTCCCTGCCTACCCCATCCCTACCATTGAAATTGCTGGGATGACAGCCAGGCTCCTCCTCTGTGTGTCTGTAACACAGACTGTAGCTTGTGTGATTAAAACAATGAGCAGTATATAACTCTTTTCTCAATTGCTAGTTTTTGCTATTTTCTATTGACAATATTTTTTCTACCAAAATATACAAATAAAAAATTCTATACCACATTTGTAAGTAACATTGCAATGGTTTATAACAAAAATGCATTTTACTGTCCTTTTCTAGCATTACAAATCACAGAATAGTCAAAGTGGTTATAAAGCGTAACCTTTTTTTTTTTTACCTTTTTAAAGCATTCCTTGCATTAGGGTAAAAAAATTTTAAGCGTCAGTATCCCTCCTTTACTCCCCCACTCCCCCATTTACTTACCTAAGCCATCATTCGATCCAGTGCTGTGTCTTTCTGCAGCTCTTCTCTCTCTTTATGTCCTGGTCTCACTGGCTCCTGCTGCTGGCAATTGCCAAGGGAGTGGGGTTGAGGCAGAATCCCACTGTATGTGTCAATATACGCAGACAACGAGGCTCAGGAGCGAGCCAGCACAAGTGCTGCCATGGAAGGTGGCTTTCTACGGGAGCACTCGGCGGAGCGAGGGAGCCAGGAGCACTGGCGGGGGACCCAAAAAGAGGAGGCGCGGGGCTGTTCTGTGCAAGTCCATTGCACAGAACGGGTAAGTATAAAAAACAAAACATTTACAATCACTTTAAACTACACTGCTCAAAAAAATTAAAGGAACACTTTTTAATCAGAGTATAGCATCAAGTCAATTAAAGTGGTTGTAAACCCCAAAAAAATCAAAAATGAAATGAAATGAAAAGGTCATTTGTCTGTAGCCTGGCCAAGAAAGGAGAAGCCAGTCATCTGAAATTCTCATTGCTTTTCTACTGTAAAAAAACACCAACACATGAAAAAAAGTTGTCGCCACACCCTCTATCCTGTGGCTGACAGACTAATTAGGAGTCTCGTGCATGAGAGAAGGAGGCGTGTGTCCACAGCCATTCACACAGATCACGCTCGAAATAGCCTAGCTCGGGAATTACTCAGCGGACCATGCCAACACTATGTGCTTATCTCTACTAAAAGAGGAGGAGGGGGGATACATACTTTCACAGGTCATCATTATCAACAAACGTCACGAGGGTGGCCTGAGGGCCCACCGTCCTTGAGTGGGCTCTGTGCTCACTGCCCGGCACCATAGTTCTCAATTGGCATTTGCCATTGAACACCAGAATTGGCAGATCCAACACTGGTGCCCTGTGCTTTTCACAGATGATAGGTTCACCCTGAGCACATGTGACAGACGTGAAAGGGTCTGGAGGCGCCATGGAGAACTTTATGCTGCCTGTAACATCGTTTAGCATGACCATTTTGGTGGTGGGTCAGTGATGGTCTGGGGAAGCATATCCATGGAGGGACGCACAGACCTCTACAGGCTAGACCAGTGGTCTCCAAACTGTGGCTCTGGGGCTAGATGTGGCCCTTTGCCTACCTCTGTCTGGCCCTTGGGACACTATTCCATCCACCAATGATGGGCTGCTATTCCTCCTACTGACACTAATGATGGGGCACCATTCCTCAAACTGACACCAATGAAGAGGAACCGTTCCTCAAACTGACACCAATGATGGCGAACCGTTCCTCAAACTGACACCAATGATGGGGTGCTTTACACTTGGCACAATGCAGTCAGGCAAGTACAGTTCTCCTGGCAAACCCAGACACGTCCATCGGATTGCCAGACAGAGAAGCGTGATTCGTCACTCCAGAGAACACACCTCCACTGCTCTAGAGTCCAGTGACGGCGTGCATTACACCACTGCATCCAACGCTTTGCATTGCACTTGTTGATGTAAGACTTAGATGCAGCTGCTCGGCCATGGAAATCCATTCCATGAAGCTCTCTACGCCCTGTTGTGCTAATCTGAAGGCCACACGAAGTCTGGAGATCTTTAGCTATTGACTCTGCAGACAGTTGGCAACTTCTGTGCACTTCAGCATGTGCTTACCCTGCTCTGTCATTTTATGTGGCCTACCACTTCGTGGCTGAGTTTCTGTTGTTCCCAGTTTCTTCCACTTTGTTATTATACCACTAACAGTTGAATGGAATATTTAGTAACAAGGAAATTTCACGGATGGACTTATTGCACAGGTGGCAACCTATCATGGTACCACGCTTGAATTCACTGAGCTGAGAGCGACCCATTCTTTCACAAATGTTTGTAGAAGCAGTCTGCATGCCTAGGTGCTTGATTTTATACACCTGTGGTCATGGAGGTGATTGGAGCACCTGAATCCAATGATTTGGAGGGGTGTCACAATACTTGGCAATATAGTATATTTTACTGTGATCATAGTTGATGATCCTCTCTCATGAAGTTGTTGGAATTGCAAGTATCTGGATTTCTCTTTCTCTGTACATAAAGCAGACAGGAGCTGTCTAGTGAATTTTACATGTACACTGTCTGTGTTTTGCAGGCTGCAAAGATTCATGAACAGGAGGAAAAAGAGGCAGAAAGGATTCGCCTTCTCCAGCTGGAAGAGAGAAGACGACAGCAGGAGACAGAGCTAAGACGGGTAGAAGAAGAGAAGCAGCGTACCTTAAATTTATTCCGTAAAGAGAGAGAATTGAGAGAGAAGCTTGTGAACAGTTTCCTTAATAGAAATGTGTGCTCTGTCTCTCAGATGAAAGAGGAAAAAAATCCCAGCAGCCACAGTGTTATCCTCTGACAGCCAGTGAAAATCTTCCCCGAGACTACTTATCAAGTGCTTTCACATCTACCTCAACACAAACACCATCAGAATATGGGTCACTCAGGCCGCACATTCACTATGCAAACTCCAACGTACATGTTGTAAATGGGGTTTCGCTGGAAGTCACTGCACCCCAGGAGTGTAAAATAAGTGATGTTAATCCAGCTAGACCTTTGTACTCGCTCACCAGCATTCTTGGCAATAATATCCTGCATAATCATTCAGCGAGTAATGATCCTGCTTTATGGCTAAAGGAAGTCCAGACTCACCAAAGCAAAGGCGAACAGTACACTCATATTGCGTCAGACATAACCAGCAGACATTCACACTCTCAGGACAAAGAACACAAGCCTAAATTAAAACCGAAGCGAGACTTAAGTAGAGAAGAGGATGATCATAAAAAAGCAAAGAAGTTCCACAAGAAGCATTCCTCTAGAGACTGCAGCCCACACACACAAGAAGCAGTAGCCATGAACGTAGTAGACACAGAAGCAGAGATCTAAAGTCAAGGCCCGGTCATAGGCAGAAGAAGCATCGGAGATCTCATAGCAGAGACAGGGATTCTTGGAGTAGCTGAATACAAGCTGCTCCCTGCAGCAGTTTTCTGCATGTAGAACTGTTGTCCAGTTTAAAATCCAAAATGTTTAGTCTGTTGCCTGTAGAGCGAGCTGTACATAGAATGCTACACTATATTTTTTTTCTTTTTCAGATTTCTGTTAAGTTTCCTTAACAGGCCAGTAAACCTAAAGCAAAAGTTCACTTATATAAAGTTACAGAAACAAATTAATAGACCTCTGTAAAACTGTAGAACCATACACTAAAGCCCAACTTCGGCAAAGGATGGGGAATCATTGAATAGAAGGGAGCTTCTGTCAGATTCCACTCATCCCTTTGGCCTGAAATCATTTGGAACCATGTATTAAAAACTTTGGATAATACTATGCAGACAGACACTGTAGGGCCTGTAATAAACATTCCACTTCAGGCCTATTTGACAAGGCAACTTTGTTAACTTCTGAGCAGATTTCAGAAAAGTGGGTCACATCAGTCAGCACATTACGTTTGCCATAAGTCAGCTTGGTAGACAAGTGAAATGCTGGCTTTCCAGCTTCTGACTGCATTGAGTTATCCTGTAACTATTAGGATTATGAATTTGGTGATGTTTTTATTTAATGAGACTTGGGCAGGATCTGCCTGAACCCGTTAGGTACAAAGAAACGGTTTTGGATACCTAGAACATATTTGAAGCAGTCAAGGCTAGAGCTGCACAGGTGATCTTCAGTAGTTTGTGAAGTATCAAGTCACTATTCAAGAGAAGTAGCATTCAGGTTGAACAAATGGCTCCCTGTGGTTTAAAACTACACAAGTAAAATTTAGTAATGGTTTATCTTGCAGAATGGTCTAATTGTATAAAATATATATATAGTACATAACTCAAAGGTTGCCTGTGGCTGGAGTTGTTCGATATTGATACCTAAATGATCAAAAAAAATTCCTTTAACCCGACCTCTGTGACTACTACAGACTAAAAAAAATAAAAATTCAGCCAGTTCCTGCTGGACCTGCATCTGTCCTTCTGGAAAACGTGCATTGCATTCGAGCAGCTGCTGCGGCGCTGATCAGTGATTTCTGACGGGAGGTGGGGAGAGTCCCCGCTGTCAGAATGCAATAGCACAGTGGGGGAGATTCCTGCATCAATATTGCTTGCATGGATGCTGGAATCTGTTAGGTTTTTTTTTTTTTTTTTGTTCCACTTGTTGGCTGAATTAAAAAAAAAAAAATGTGTGTATAGCCAGCTTAAGTTGGGTAACTTACATTGTAAGAAGCCGTTTGTTTCACCTATTTAGGCTCCATTCATGCTGATGCTTGTGGTAATGCACATTAACGCATGGCACTATATGAGTTGACATGTTTCAACCACAACACACTAGTATAGTAATGGGCAGTGAACCATAGTGCACATGCCAAATAGAAAAAGTCATATGCAATGCCTGTCCTTTCCAAAATAATGTACTGTCCTAATGGAGTGCACCTTCATGCACACTGACATGTTTCATTAAGAATATGGGTTAACACAACAAAGAGTCTGTACGGGGCCTTAAAGTGTATCTAAGCCTAAAAAAAAAAAAAAGTAATATAGTGCAGCTTTCCAACTGCAATATATTACATTTTAGAGTTTAGATATGGATCAATGTTTTTAAAGCTGAACTTTAGGCAAACAATATTGTGCATATACAAGCAGCATATGCATTGTTTATTGAATTAGTGTATCTGTAATAATCCAGCATGAAACATTTCCTATGCTTTGCCTCTTAGCAGGATTTGTTAGTAATATAGACCAGTCACTGCTACTGTCTCTCCTTGTGCAGGGTGACTGGTCTTATATCTGCCCCCTCCGGTAGTTATATGCAGAAAGTCTGTAGTGGCTGGACCTGATGGGTCCCTCCCACAGCTCAGCTGTTTGCACAGTGTATGTGCAACAAAGTGATTTATGTCATTGCTACTTTCTACAAACTAATATTTGGGTTTGCAAAGCATTTGGTGCACACATAGTAGATTATATCCTTTACAGATATTGAAAGATACATTTAAATTAGAGTTTGTATGCTTTAAGCTTGGAAATAGATGTGTGACCATGAGCATCTAAAAACCATCCTTGTAGTGCTTACCTTAATTTAATAAAGTAAAAGGCTGCTCTTGGATTCTTTAATAAACACTAAAACAATTTTAAAGACAACTGTCACAAAGCAGAATACAGTGTAAGAAGCCTGAGATGGGAGCTGCCATTTTTATTCTCATCCTGACACTTGGGCTATTATTTGCCTTCACTGTCTTTAAGACTTCTTACTCAAGTATTTTAATTCATGACAGTTTGGCTTCAATTATGTAAAAAATATGGAAAATTGTGTATAAGCTATTATTTTTAATTATTGCTTTTTATGTTGGGCAACATGTGTTGGGTATATTGTTCTTGAAATATGAAAAGGTACATTTCATATATCAGTTTGTTAAAAAAATTAAGGTAAAATCCTTGTGGCTTCTGTTGTAGGGACCATATAGGACTGCAGAAAGTTTTTCAGGTCCAGGTAATAAAGTATTTCTTTTTCAAATTTTAAAAAAACTAAGACTCCTGTCTGTTTTAATTAAAACCAATCTGTGACACATGGGTAATTGAAATGGAGCATATGATGGGATAAAAAAACTGTACAAGTAGAGGTTTCCTCAAAGAACACTACATGCCAAAGAGCTTAGTAGACCCATGAGCATATGCAGCTGAATTCATATACAAAATCATGTTGATTTTTTTTTTTTCCTCTGCAAATCAGGGTTAGTCCTGCCTCCTGATGATCCCTATTCTGTATATAACTTTAGCTTCTTTTATTCAGTCATTGAATGACACAAGACTTTCACTGAAAGTAACCTCTACGTATGCATTTTTTTTGTTATATGTTCTGTTTGGATTGCTCAACTGTGTGACAGATTTTCTTCAAAAATAAATCTGTACTGAGCTTTAATCTCTTGGAAATGCTAGTTGCCTGACTTTCTAGGTCCTTGTTTGCATTTATCTATAAATATAATGATTTTACATTAGATACATTAGATGTTTTTTTTTTTTTTTTCTCTGTCAGGAGTTCAGCTTTACACACAGCTAGAACTGGGATAATAAGGTATATCTAAAGCCCATTTTATTTCTGTTTTGGATATAGTAAGGAGTACGTAAAACCCATGTCTTTTTTTTTTTTTTTTTTTTTTCTCCTATGACTCATTAGGAAGATTTCTCTTCACTTTTTGTCTTCGAGACAAAAAAAGGAAGTGAAAAGAAACCTATTTAAAATAAAGTAATGCCTCTCTTAGGCTCTGTTCACATATACGGCAATGACGTGCATTTTACTGCACTGAAAAAATACAGATCACTGCAAGGACACAAACAATTGTTGGTGTCATATGCAGTGTGTTGCATTAAAATGCTTCATATATATGCATTATAGCACAACACACCTAAATGCACATCAACGCAAAACAGGTTCACTGACAAAAACAAAGCTTTTCATTATTTTGCCCCATACAAGGACCTACAGTGCCTTGAAAGAGTATTTATACCCCTTGAAATTTTCCACATTTTGTCATGTTACAACCAAAAACGTATAGACTAACACAAAGTGGCACAGAATTGTGAAGTGGAAGGAAAATGGTTTTCAACATTTTTTTCAAATAGATATCTAAAAAGTGTGGCATTCATTTGTATTCAGCCACCTTTACTCTGATGCCCCTACCTAAGATCTGGTGGAACCAAATGCCTTCAGAAGTCACCTAATTAGTAAATAGAGTCCACCTGTGTGTAATGTAATCTCAATATAAATACAGCTGTTCTGTGAATCCCTCAGGTTTGTTAGAGAAGATTAGTGAACAAACAGCATCATGAAGGCCAAGGAATACACCAGGGAGGTCAGTGATGAAGTTTAAAGCAAGGTTAGGTTATAAAAAAAATCCCAAGCTTTGAACAGCTCACAGAGCACTGCTCAATTCATCATCCAAAAATGGAAAGCGAATGGCACAACTGCAATCCTACCAAGACATGGCCGTCTGCCTAAACTGACAGACCAGGCAAGGAGAGCATTTATCAGAGAAGCAGCCAAGAGGCCCATGGTAACTGGAGGAGCTGCAGAGATCCACAGCTCAGGTGGGAGAATCTGGCCACAGGCCAACAACTAGTCATGCCCTCCACAAATCTGGCCTTTATGGAAGAGGGGCAAGAAGAAAGCCTTTGTTGAAATAAAGTCATAAGTCCCGTTTGCAGTTTGCGAGAAGCCATGGGGGGGAGGGGGAATGACAACAAACGTGGAAGATGTGCTCTGGTCAGATGATAACAAAATTGAACTTTTTGACCACAAAGCAAAACGCTATGTGTGGCAGAAAATTAACACTGCACATCACTCTTAACACACCATCCCCACCATGAAACATGGTGGCAGCATCATGTTGTGGGATGCTTTTTTTTCAGCAGGGACAGGGAAGCTGGTCAGAGTTGATGGGAAGAAGGATAGAGTCAAATACAGGGCAATCTTAGAAGAAAACCATGTTAGTCTGCAAAAGACTGGAGCGGAGGTTCACCTTCCTGTAGGACAATGACCCTAAACTTACAGCCAGAGCTACAATAGAATGGTTTAGATCAGGGCTCTCCAAACTATGGCCCTCCAGCTATTGAAGTACTACAAGTCCCATCATGCAGCTGCCTCTGGGAGACTTTCCTGTGGCTTCTTACAAGGCCTCATGGGATTTGCAGTTCCTCAACATCTGGAGGGCCATAGTTTGGAGACCCCTGGTTTAGATCAAAGCGTATCCATGTGTTAGAATGGCCCAGTCAAAGTCCAGACCTAAATCCAATTGAGAATCTGGGGCTAGACTTGAAAATTGCTGTTCAGGGACGCTCTCCATCCATTCTGACAGCTTGGGCTATTTTGCAAAGAAGAATGGGCAAAAGTTTCACTCTCTAGATATGCAAAGCTGGTAGAGACATCCCCAAAAAGACTTGCAGCTGTAATTGCAGTGAAAGGTGGGTCTACAAAGTATTGACTC